AAAGATGATTTAGCAGCATTATCTGCCTTATCTCCTCCTTGGATGCCAACATGGCTAGGAATCCAGCAGAAGATGATATTTTTGCTTTTTTCCATTGAATGTAGTTTATATAGAAGACTTTGTATTAATGGATTTTCCAGTCTTTTCCCTTTTAGGGATGTTAATACCGATAATGAATCGGAGAAAATAATATAGTTTTCTCCTTTGTTTTTTGATATGAAATTTAGTGCTAGTTTTATTGCGAGGCTTCTGCACTGAAAATTGATGCTTCATTTGGCAAGCGTTTTTTTGATAATTGTTTCTTTTTGTTATTGCTGCGCTGCCTGTTTTTTTTCTTCGTCTTTTGATCCATCTGTGTAAATACTTTCATAGTTTTGATATTTTCTTTTATTTTTTGAGAATTTTTCAATGTATGTTGTGGGGTGTGTTTTTGATTTTGATAATTTGTTTAAACTTAATATTATGTTTGGATTTTTGATTATCCATGGTGGTATGTTTGATTGGTTGGTTTTAAGTATTTGATTAGACGGTAAATTATTTTCTTGGATGATTCCTTCCATCCGGAGTCCCAATGTTTTGATTTTATTTGTGTTAAGATTAAATTTCTCTTTGTGATTTGGTGTAAGTACACAATCGTGTGTGGGGTTAGAAGGACAGGAAGAGAGTTTTATATAGTATTGAGTAGCTAGTTTCTCCATTCTTAGTTGTAATGGGGGTTCGTTTGCCTCTACATGTAGACTCTCTATAGGTGAGGTGGGATAGGCTCCTAGAGCTATCCGAAGGCCTTCATGATGTATTGTGTTTATTATTTTTAGATAAGATTTTCTAGTTGATTGGTAGACCATGCTGCCATAGTCCAGTTTGGAGCGGATCAACGTTCTATAAAGCTTAAGAAGGGTTTCTTTGCTAGCTCCCCATTCTGTATGGGCTACTGTTCGCAGTAGTTGGAGAGCTTTAAAACATTTTGTTCTTAGGTAATTGATATGTGGTCTGAAGGTCAGTTTGCTGTCAAAGATCATTCCTAGAAATTTATATTGCTGAACTACTGGTATTTCTTCATTTCCTAGTTTTAGAGTTGGGTTATTGTGTAATTTTTCATTTGGCAGAAGTGTACAGATTTTGTCTTCGTTTTTGATATTTTAAAACCGTTTTCGAGTGTCCATTTGTTTATTTGATGTAAACATTGTTGAAGTTGTCTTTCTGCTGTGTTGAGGTTTCTTGATCTGTAATATATTGTAAAATCATCAACATAAAGGCTACAGTGTATTCCTGATTTGATGTTTTTTATTATGTCATTTATTTTTATTTTGAAAAGTGTAGGGGAGAGTACACTTCTCTGTGGTACTCCCTCTTCTTGCTTTTGATAATCAGAACGTGTAGCATCTATTTGTACTTGGAAGAGTCTATCTGTTAAAAATCCTTTTCTGAAGTTTGGTAGTTAACCTCTTAATCCTAGTTTATGCAGATCTTTCATTATACCATGTTTCCAGGTTTGATCAAATGCTTTTTCTATATCAAAAATATGGCTATTAGATGTTGTTTGTTTAAATTGGCCTCTCTTATGGCTGTTTCTAGTCTTATTATGTGATCTATTGTACTTCTTCCTTTATTATATCCACATTGATATTCTGATATGTGTTTTTCCTTCTTCTAGAAACCAACTCAATCTGGCGTTGACCATTCGCCCATTGTCTTACATAGACAGCTTGTTAATGCTATTGGTCGGTAACTTTGTGGGTTGTTTCCCTCTTTTCCTTCTTTGAGTATGGGAATAATTACAGATTCTCTCCATATTTTGGGAAATTTCCCAGTAGTCCAAATATTGTTAAAATATTCAAAAAGGTATTTCAGCGATTCTTGTGGTAGTTGTTTAATAAATTCATAGTGGATTTGGTCTGGGCCTACTGCTGTATTATGGGATTTTTTATGGCTTCTATTAGTTCCGCTTCAGTGAATAGGTTGTTGTAGGCTTCTGTATTTTTTTTTAGATGAAAAATTTAGTTGGTTATTTATATCTTTTTTGTTTACACTTTTGTAGGTTTTGATTTTTTGCTCATTTTAGAGTTTTCTGCAAATGTCTCTGCTAGTAGGTTTGCTATCTCTCTTTTGCTAGTTGCTTTAGTGTTGTCCTTTTAAGATGTATTATTGGGTGTATTTGATTTTTTCAGCTATTTTCCTCATCATTTCCCATATTGTCTTGGTTTTAGAATGTGTATTTAGGCTGTTTACATATTTTTCCAACATTCCTTTTGGCTTCTTTTTACAGTTTTCTGTGCTACTGCTTTGAGTTTCTTCATTTCAATCAAATTTTGGGTTGTGGGTTCCTTCTTGAACTTTCAAGAATGCTGCTTCCTGGTTTCTGACTGCTTTTTGGCAGTTTTTGTCAAACCAGGGTTTAGTTTTTTATAATTATTTTGCTTTTTTGGTATATTTTCTGAGGCAATGGTTATTAATGTTTTGGTAAAGTATTCTACCGAGTTGTCTGTGTCCTTTGACTGTATCAGTACTTGTTTACATTTGTTTTTGAAACCCTCCCAGTTGGCTCTTTTCAGTTTCCATCTGACGGGGCCTATCTTTTCTTCCTTGGCAGGCTTTTTGATTTTCTAGTATGATCGGGTAATGATCACTGCCACATGTGTCACTATGTGTTTTCCATGTACAATCCATACAAATTTCTGGATCGCTTATACTTAAGTCTATTGATGATTCTGTTCCATTGGAGGGATTAAGGTAGGTTGAGGATTTATGATTTAATAGACATAAGTTATGGGTGTTAATTATTTCTTCTAATATTTTACCTTTAGTATCTAGCTTTTGTTATTCCATATAGGATTATGACTGTTAAAGTCTCCTAGTAAGATTCTGGGTTTGGGGAAGTTGCTCCATCAAGTTGTTTATTTCTGTTGTGTTTATTGGTTCCTGTGGGGTATATAAATGGAAAGAATTGTGATGGTTTTATCTAGTGTCACTTGTGTTGCTATTGCTTGTAATTTAGTTTTAATGTGTACTTTACTTTTGCGGTATGTCATTTCTGATCAATATTGACACTCCTCCATTAGCTCTATGTCCTGTATTGTGGTTATAGTGGTATTGTTTATAATTTTTAATTTTTAAGTTGGTATTTTCTTGTAAAAAAAAGTTTCCTGTAAGCAGATGACGGCTGGATACAGTAGTGACATAAGTATGAGTAGGTCATTGTAATTTGATTTTATTCCACGACAGTTCCATTGCAGGATCTTATGTGCCATGATTATATTTTCATTTTTTGGGAGTAAAGTTACCTACTAGGTTGGTATCATTTGTCCTCTCCAATTTTTTTTTTCCATCTCTTGAGTTTTTAGAAGCTTTGTCTTCAACTGCTTGTGGTGTCCTTGATCAGATTTTTGATTTTGTTTTGAATTTTGTTTATTATCTTTCTCTTCTATTTCTATATATTCCATAGGTTCAAATTTATTTTCATTTGATATACTGATTCTCGATTTTGAGTTAGATCTTGATCGAGTGCTTTCTTGCTCTGTTGTCACATTTTTTCTTTTTGTTTATTTTTCATTTTCTTAGTTTGGGTTTGGAAAAGAAGAGGGTTCGCTGGAGTTTTGTTCTGTGTTTTCTTTCCAAAGTTTTTTGCCTCCTTCTGGGTTTATTCCATTTGATCTGGGTTGTTGAGTTTTATTTTGATCCGATTTAAGTTGGTTAAAAGGTTTTAATTCTTCAAGGAAAGCTTTTAATTCCTTACATAGATTTGTTATTTCAATTGAACCTTTTATTTTATCTTCATTGTTTATTTTATTTGCTTTTTGTGCCATGGAAGCATATGTGTTTTCTTTTATATTATTTATAACTTCCTTTTCGTGTTTCTATGTAAGATATATTTTTTTGTATTTTATTCTAATTATTTCTTTCTCCTGTTTATATATATTGCATTGTTTTGAGAGGGCAGAGTGGTTTCCCAAACAGTTTGAGCATAGGCTCTCATTTGGGCAATTCTCTTCTTTGTGTTCTGGTTCCTTCTCACTACATTTCCCACATATTTTTTTATTTCTACAGGAATCTCTGTGATGCCCAAATTTGTGGCATTTATAGCATTGTAAAGGGTTTGGTACATATTGTTCTACTTTTATACTTTCATATCCAATTTTTATTGAAGTTGGAATTTGGGGGGAGTTGAACGTTATAATGTAGGTATTAGTTTGTATCTCAGCTCATTTTTTTTTTAATTGTTATTCTTTTAACATTTGTAACTCCTTGAGTTTGGAGTTCTATTTTTATTTCCTCTAGAGTGCACAAGGAGAGCTCCTTACTTTTTACTACTCCCTTTGAGTAATTTAGTGTTTGGTGTGGGTAGGTTTTTATTTCTATCTCTTGTAGTTTTTTTTTGTCTGATCAATGTGTCCGCATATATTTTTTTTTTTCTACTTCTATTAGTATTGTTCCATTTTGTAATTTTTTAACCTTTTTTGGTATTATGATATTTGATATTGCTTTTTGTATTTTAAACGGAGAAATTTCTGATAATGATGTTTGGCTTATTGCTTCGAGTACAATAAACCGTGGGAAGTTTTCACTTTCATTCTCTGTTTCTGAGTCGTTATCCACATGTGGTCTCTTGGAAGATTTCTTTTTTTCCATTGATTGTTTTTATTTTTGTTCATCATTCTCGCTCCCTACCCACCACGGAGTCCAGATTGGGACAGGTCAAGGGGGAAACCCATTCGCCTTGCCATGTCGGGTCTACGTGAATGATATACTCTTTTGGGAGGAGTCTTTGAGCACGCATGTTCCTTTGTTTCCGTTTTCCAAGTATTACGGCTGTGAAGGTTTAGCAAGTGTGTCAGATACTTTTCCCCCAAATTGATTGACCTCAGCCACCGCCTTCCATCACATATTTAGGGTTAAGTGTTAGTTTTGGTTGGGAAGAGGAGTGTCAGTTATAGGTTTGGGTTGGATTATATATGATGGGGCTTGACATGACCAGCCGATTGATTGGATCGGGCCCCTCCGACCGCCCGTCTAGCCCAGGTAAGGGCCAAAGTGGTAAAATTATCTGGATTTTGAAAGGGAAGAGAGAGGGGAGAGAGGAGGGAGAGAGAGGGAGAGAAAGGAGAAAGAGAGAGAGGAGGAAAAGAGAGAGAGAGAGGGAGGAAAAGAGAGAGAGAGGGAGGAAAGAGAGAGGGAGGAAAAGAGAGAGAGGGAGGAAAAGAGAGAGAGGGAGGAAAAGAGAGAGAGGGAGGAAAAGAGAGAGAGATGAAAAGAGAGAGAGATGAAAAGAGAGAGAGAGGAAAAGAGAAAAAAAAACTTTTTCTTTTTCTACTTAAATTAAAAAACCAAGTTTACAGCAGGTATGTTGTTACCTGTCATCTCTGTTAAAAGATTAAGTGGGTACAGTTTTAACTTTGTTTTTACCAATGAAAATCTGACTAAATTCATGCACTTATCATGAGAGACCTGAAGTATGGATGACCATATGTGACAAAACCTGATATTACCCTCAATGACAAAAGTATATTCCCAACATTCAAAAACCATCAGAAGATAGTGCACACACTGCATTCAATATAACAGCTGTTAATTAGTTATGTATTTTGACCAGGATTTGGCAACATTGTTTCTAACAGAGGAGTTAACTCTTTAGCATTCAACATGCTCAAACCCACCCTGGAAAATATTAGCTATCAAAGTCTCACTGTTTATCCAACTTCTTGAGTTATATGTGATATTTAGTCATATATTATTGGCAGAGTATAAATAGAGCAGGTTACAGTGGGTTGAACATTAAGAGCCAATATTTGTGGCAGGTTTGGCTATGTTGAAGGCAAAAGGGTTAAAGACCTGAGTGAATAAAGGCAAAGGTGGGATGACTTTTCCTTATAAGGAAACGTTCAGCAATCATTGACTAAATAGTTATCATTACTGTCAGTTGGAATTTATGAAATCTTTCTCCTAAAACATTTTTTTTTTTAGAAAAATAGTCTTCTCAGGTTCACAAACTCTTATTGTTCTTTCTAGCAATGATGGGAATTTCCTTCCTAACCTTTTGTCTAAGGTAGTATGGAAAGTCAACATCTTGATAGAATCCTAAAGCATCCCCAAGCCCTTGTGGGTGACAAATTATTCTCCACTCTCCAACCTCTCTTTTAGAGGTGGGATGAGGCAAGCCTCTTGCTGTTCTATCATTGCTTCCATGGAAAGCGTTCGGACAAACATTCTCTGGTTTTACCAGTTCAAACCTTTACAGCAAAGAACAAGCCATGCCATTGATATAGTAGAAAACTACCCTCATTTCCTCCACATTCCATCAGTGAGAAGTTAGTTCCATTCCAACTACCAAGAGGATTTTTCCATGATCACTACAATCTTAACCTGTTCAAACCTAGGGTTAACTGATATCTTCCATCTGTACAAATTGCCTCTAATTTAACCCTCTAACTTAAATCACCCACTTGTACAGGATGAAATTTACTGTTATAAAAAAAAAAAAAAAAAAAAAATTGTTATTTTTTTTTTCTTCTAGTCACATGTGCAAGCCATTTTAATTGTTACTACTGTTGTAAGTCTCGAAGTGATAGAGTTTTATTATTTGGTAAAGCTCTCTGTGATTCTGTAGCACCAGTCTCCAATAAAGGATTGTCTTCTTTAAGACCAAGAGAATTCATTCGCTTGACGCCATTTTTAATCAGTGACCTAAGAAAACGGTTCTAAGTCATGATAAATTATAAATACTATTTTATTATGAATAAAATATATATAAATTTGAAACAGGGTTTGTGTATTTTATCAACAACTGAGAAGAATTTCTTAAATATGTCAACACCTCTCTCACAGATGAAATATAATAAGCCTCTTACTGTTCTATCACTATTTTCATGAAAAGTGCTGAGACATTCTTCAGTTCTACCAGTTCTAACCTTAAGGGCTAAGACCTGTCATGCTACAGACATTGTAGAAAACCACCTTTTCTATAAATACTTTCAAGGTAATTCTCCTGATGAGGTTTCAGTTTCTTCTCACTTGTGGAACTATCATCTGACTTCTTTTTTACAACTTTGATCTTCTTTAAATACAATGTCAATCATTCTCTTCTGTCTTAATTCTTGTTCTTTTATTGTTCTTTCTCCTTAATAATGTCTTTCCTTTTTCTCATATTCTCTCTCACTTAGTAACCCCTTATGTCTTACTGTCTTTATTGCTTTGTTTGGGGTGAAATGATTAAAAAAAGATGAAAATAAAAGAGAAAATGAGTGAAAATAAATTCAATATCTGTCTATATCTCTGAGATGAGGTATTATGATTACTTGCATTACTTACATTCCTTGGACTGTTATCCTCATCTTCATTGCCATGCTATACGCTCTGGCCTTCTTCAGGTGATTGGAATTTCAACACAAACTATTTATTTCATCCACCAGGGGTAAATTGTTCTAGTTCCACGTGCCATGCCTCTTCCGGATGTCTCAGTTATTTCCCTTTACCTCAACTCTCCAAGATTTTGGTTCCCCACTGCTGTGGCCTGGTATGGAACTCACAACTCTTTGGGTCTAGTCACTGGATCTAACCAAGATCTTTATCCACTGGGCCATGTGCCCTTGAGGAAGAGGCATGGCATGTGGAATTGGAACAATCTACCCTAGTAGGGTTTGGTTCGAAATTCCAACTACCTGAAGAAGGCTAGAGCATACAATGGGCAAAACTTTGTGAACATGGTAAAGTAGATGAAGATAACAGTCCAAGTAATGTAACTTATGCAAGTGAAAATAAATTCAATTAAAAAAACAAAAAAAGCTCGAAGATGGTACGACAAAGACAACCACAGCAAACATTTGAAGACTAAGGAAACAAAAATGTCTTACGCCGAAATTTATGATTTTTATTTTTCTGCATACCAGATTCTGAAAAGACAAAAGTTCATGGGTTGCAAATCTGAGAAAAGCAAAATGAAGCATCTTTTCTTAGATTCCCCTTGAAGTGGGTGAGGAACCCAAGAATGCAAAATTAAGAAAGAAGAGAAAGTCAGAGCAGAATCTTAACAGCAGATCTTTGGAAGCTTAAGATCAGATTAAAAAGGGAGTTACTATATTTGGCAATACTTTGAGAAAAATTCGGTGAATGTGGCAAAAATATCACGTTAAAGCGTCTAACTTGGAAAAGGCTTATGTGCTTTTGTGAAAGACCTATTAACTCAGTGCAAGTTAAGGTAGAATAGTGTTTTCTTTTATGTTTTTTTATAAAAGATAATTGGAATTTAGCTATGCACGCTCACTTTCCCCTTTTCATTTCTTTCTCACACTTTCCTTTTTCTGTTTGATGCCAGTATATTTAGTGTTATATACTGTACCTCTGAACACTAACAGGTATGTCCCAATCCTCATAATGTAGTTTAAATGAGTCTCTATTACTACGACATCACTTGTACAAATCAAGATACTGCTGGTTCAATTCACCGTTCTTGCTTTCTGAACATCTCACAACGTAAATCCAATTTTTGTTCTCCAGTTTTCACTTCTTCAGCCCTCTTATCAAGCTAACACCACGGTCGATCAACCAATCAGCGTTCTTCACTTTTATTCTCAGTTACCCAGGCAAATAACCTCCTCCAGTTTGACCTATCAGCACATGACTTGTTATTGGTGGAAGCATGCCAAACTGTACAAAAACACTCATGGTAACATACTGCTGGAATTGCTAGACAGGAGAGTAATGCCATTTACACAGAGAAAACATGCCGATGCCACATGCCGCACATTAAGTAAGGTAAGATCCTTATTTTTCTATGCACCAGATGCAAGCCTCTCTGGCTCGCTTGCTTCTATGGGGCTGTTCACCACACATAATTATGTTGGACACTATTGTAAGTGGTGGTGATGGTGGTGGGGGGGGCGTAATATGCTGTCTAAGTAGTCCACCACTAGCAGTAGTTTACCTGCTTCACGGCGCTGGCGAGTATTGTATTTTGTTGATGTTATAAAGATTACCATTTCATTTCCAACCTCTGTTTTGGTTATTCTTTATTCATTAACCCTTTCTAGGTAACATTTAGCACCTTTCATTTTTCTTATTTATTTTACTATATTTTGCCATATCATTTTTTTTTTTAGACAATTAACTTACTTTTCATCCATGGCAGGATTTGTTGAGAGGTCGTATACTAATGTATTTTGGTAAATATTAGGTTGGCCAGAAAGTCCCGACTCACTTTTTAGTGGGTACCAGCCTGGATATTTGAGAAATCTTATTAGAGAAAAATATGTGCTCTCCAGCAGGATACAAACTTAAGTTCCCTTGGGGGAAACCATCATCAGATCTAATGTGCTTTGACGTCTTAGCTACAGAGTGCATCAATGACCAAACAAAGTTGGATAGTGCCTTTAAACACAGATTTTACGCTAACTTCTCTCATTTTAAATCGTCTAAAAAAAAAGTATCTTCCTTTTTTACTCACAACTTTCCAGGTTGCAATATATTTTTTAAATCCAAAGAAACACAATATCCCCTTTAAAAAAAAAAAAAAAAAAAAAAAAAAAAAAAAAGACAAATACATAACACTTACGAAATGGAGCATAACGTGGGTCAACTGGATCCATAGACCTTGCTCTATTAACTCTTGGAGAGGTTTCATTGTTAGGAGGTGTCCGATCTGCTGATTTGTACCTTTTTCTCCGTCTCTTTGATGATGAAGAATTTCCTGGTACATTCAAATGGTCAGTTTGAGGTGGACTTTCAGAAGGAGATGGACCTGCTGCAGCAGCTGCTGCTGCTCCTGTTGCAGCTGTCTTGCTGCCACTTAGGACTCGGTGAAGTTTCTTGTTTATTGTGTCTTCAATGTTCAAGTAACTTCGAACCAAGTTGGACAGGTGACGTAATAGGTTCTGGTTGGCCTCAAGGATGACATTTCTGAAAAAGAAAAAAAAAATTAATTTGTTTTCATTGTATTTCTATTAGATACATTATTATTCAGGTTTCAGTTCATAAAAATATCGTCTTTGCAGGCATCAAAGGTAGATTGGTGTCTGAAACATCTCTAATTTGCTCATCTCAATTTAATCTTTTTGCATTTAACATGCTCAAAACCACCCTGCAAATGTCAGCTCAAAGACTCATATTTGTGGTCAAGGAGATTTTATATATATATATATATATATATATATATATATAAAATTTATATTTGGGCAGGAACCTTCCTTTCATTGAAAAATGGCCAACAAGGAAAATTTAATTAATGTTTGGAGTTTTTCTAGCATGCTAATGCTGGGGAAAACAATAACAAATTAAATAAATCATTCTTGTTGGCCGTTTTCAATGAAATTTCAGCTACCATAGTTTCTAGAAATGAAGGTTTCCTCAGGTAATGAATAGGTCAATTGTTTTTCTACCACTCCATTCACCTTAGCACTGCCTGAGGAAGTGTTCATTGGTATAAACCATGGTAACAGAAAAGGTTATTGTTTGCAATATTTTAGTGTGTGTGTGTATATATATATATATATATATATATATATATACACACACACACACACACAAGTCTCTGCACCATGCCACACAAGACTGCCAGGCAATTTCTGCAACTACATCATATTATATAGAAATAAAGTGTTGCTGCTGACTTCATTATTATGTGTGGGATGCAGTTGAGCAAGATACCATCAAAACTCCTTGTAACACCTGAGATGAAATGAAAGCAAGGATTATGGCTGCATTCACCAATTTAAACAAGAAGAGTTCCAGAAGATTTTGAAGTGGTCTGGCGGCCGTGGTTGAAGCCAATGGTGATTTTATTGAATAAATTTACTCTTTAGTAAAGCAGGATATTTTTGTGTAACTTTAGTAAATATATCTGTTAAAATCAGATGTCAGTGTTATTTTCATTTTTGTGTAATTTAGACAACAATTTATCCACTGCACTATATATATATATATATATATATATATATATATATATATATTTATGAATAAAAATGACAATAGGAAAACTGGTAATTGCTGACGTTTTAGGTCAATGTGGACTTTATCAAAGCAAAATACTTAAAATGAAATTAAATGAACAACGAACTAATAAAAAACAAAAACAGAATGTACCTAGCAACTGGAATGTAGAGAAACACTATTTTCATATTTTTTAAATGAAAAATAACGTCAGAGATTGTCACGTGTGGAGAATATTCACATCATATATATATATATATATATATATATATATATATATATATATATAAACAATATGAGATATGCACACACAGTATATTTATGGATGAAACATAGAAATGAACCCTAAGGTCAACACCAAGTGGCAACAGTGTTTCATGCTTGGAAGCAATCTTCAGGCCATGTGTGTTTTTTGGCTGAACTATTTATATATGCTGGTCAATGGTGCATTATGGGTAGTAAGGTCTATTATCCTAATAGTTATTGGGTGGACAGGTATGGTCATGTTTCAAATTATTCTAAAGATTACTGAGTAGAAATAATTGTGGATCCGAATATGGTTATTTGTAGCAATTTTATAATGAATGATAATGATTGTACTGAAAAAAAAAGTTAACTATAACTATAAATTGGTGGTGACTTACTGGTCAGCAGTTTTGGCGACATCACTTGCTTCTGTTTCAGCCTGGCTGGCATCCAAGTCCAAAGAGTGAGCCTTTTTATTAGACTGTAGAAAAGACAATGAGCAGAATGCAAACATCAATATTTAAGCAATGTAGTTCACTACAGAAAAAAATAACCTTTACAGCAAATGAAAAATGTGCATCTCCATGCAGATGTCATGGAGTTAAATAAATGTTTCTTATTATATCAGAAAATTGTTGTCTGTCATTTTCCTTGCTCCAGTGACGTAAACATGGGACAATAAGAACATGTAAAAACCTAATACTAAGGATTTAACAAAATATGTTGTCTTTTTAGGAATGCATGGCTAATATAATTTATCTTCTATACATCCCCCCACTCTCTCTCTCTCATATATATATATATATATATATATATATATATATATATATATATATATTAAATTATTTATTTAAAAATATGATTCAACTTTCAGCGACATAAGAAGTCTCATGTTTCAAAATAAGATCCGAAAACGTCAATATAATTATTTGAATTAAATTGAGTTAAAAGTAAGCTTACTTTAGTAAACAGAGCTTACTTTAACTCAATTTAATTCAAATAATCATATTAAAGTTTTCGCTCTTGTTTTGAAACATGAGACGCCTTATGTCATATAGTTGGAATCATATTTTTAAATAAATAATTATATTTATGCTCTACTTTTGTATCAAGCACTATTTTTAAAAAATAATAACTAAAATACTAAGGAACTTTGGATTATTTACCTAACCAGTTCCTTATTATTTTCTATATATTTTCATATTATATATATATATATATATATATATATATATATATATATAATTGCCGATAATCCCTGACAAGTGGATGGAGTGATCCCAGAGGAAACATAAATCAACTAAGTGACAAAACTTTTTACTTGTATTAATTCTATATATATATATATATATATATATATATATATATATATATATATATATATATATATATATATATGGTTGATCAGTAATACTATTATAATATTCAATTAATGTGATCATATATGTAAATATACATGTGTATCACGCCACTCATTGAGGAAGGTACCATAGTTTTTCTCATTCCTTTTATTTTCCCCAATTACTTTCAATCTCATCCAAGATCATCTTTAGGGGTGAACTGCTGAGAGAAAAAAATTAATGCAATTGATAAACGCAAATTTTTTGTAAATGTGCATAAAATGTGCTCTGTTAATTCAAAAATTTACAATATCTAAGGGAGTTGATTTTTATTTCTAATTTAAAAAAAAAAAAAATACAATGTAAGTATTTTAAAACATTGCTGTTATAAATGTAATTTTAAAAAAAAATTACAATTTTGGTATTTTAGAACCTTGCTCTTATAGACATTTTAAAACATTCTTGCTATACAAATAATCTTATATAGTTTTGGTTGTACTTTTCTTATATAGAGGGCTTTAAGAATTTTAAGGTTTTGTTTTTATTTTCATGTGTGAGTATACTTGTATTGTCAATTAATATTTCTCTAAATTGTTAATGTGGACAGAAATGTTCCTTTAGATATTGTACAATAGAGCTTGAATTTGACAAGTATAATAGAAGTCTCCTCAATAATGTTGTTGTCATGAAATCAACATATACATTTACTTTTTTTGTCGGCGATATAATCTCCCAAAGGGTATTTAAATTGATATACAATGTTCATCTCTTTCAAAACATTAGTTGCTGGAGAAGAGTTATTGCTGATGATTAAGTTGGTTGTATTAAATTTAGTTTCGTATATAATTAGTTTTATTTATTTATTATTTTTTTTTTTAAACTGGGATCAGTTGGAGATATATAAAGTTTCTTTTTTAGGATTTTTTTTTTACCTTGTTTGTAGTTAGAGTGTATTTTATTGAAGTATAGTAGGTTGGTATGTCTAGGGTTATTTGAAGAAGTACTATGTTCTTTTTGATTTATGTTAATATTTCTAATTTGTTCATCAGCAATGTAATTAGGAAAGTCATTATTAATTAGATTGTGTAATGTTTTTTAATCTGGTGCTAAATTTTTTTTTTTTTTTGCTGAAGAGTTAACTTTCACATGGTTTATTACATTTTTTATAGTCATTGTTTTGTAATAGTACATTCACTTTTAAAGTTGAAAGTGTACATGTTTATACTAGTTAGTTTTTTTTTACTATAGTGGAGTAGTAAATAAATTATTATGGATGTCTTTCAATATATCAAGAAACAGAATTTTATTGTTAAGTTCATATGTCACCTTAACAGAATTTTCTTGGAAGTTTTTTTTTTATATTTCATGTATTTCATCTGTGTTTTAAATTAAGATAAGAATATCATCTACACATCTTAGGTAGATAGAGGGTTTTGCTTATCAACCTTTTGTGAGCTGTTTAAAGCCAAAATATATTTTGGATCATCGGAGGACACTTACAGTACCTGGTGTTCCCAAGAACCCCCGCTCAAGTAATGACCAGGCTTAACACTGTTCACACAACAAGAAGGGAATCTGATGTTTATTTGTTCATGTTAATAGCTTTTCAGCACCCATTGGTGAGTGTGCGAGTTTACAATCACTAATTATAGAAAACAGAAATTAGAAAAAAAAAACAAAAACAAAAAACAGAGCATCTTTGAGATTAACCTAACAACCACCCAACAAGATTTTGATACAACATTTTAATCTTTCTTGCTCTTCCATTATCCACAATTTTGACGGATTTGTTCTCCTGTCATTAACAGACATTAAAATCTAACAAATGTCAAGCAAGTTAATATCATTCTGAAACAGAAGAATACTTTCACATAGCATGTTTCAAGTGGAAAATATTTAAACAATAAAAGCTGAAGCAATTTAAAAAAAAAAAAAAATAAATAAATTTTTTTCATTTCAACTATGCAGCAGCAACAACACCAACATCACCATGACCACCACCATCACTTATCTATCAACAAAACCTCACCTGACCAGACTTTTTACTTTTATTTAAAGACTTTGTTCTGTTATCCACTGGACTGGTGGAAGATGTACCAACAGTTGGTGGGCTAGAAGGCTTTCGTGAAGACCTAACTACATCAGCAAATGATCGTGTGGTCATCAGTTCGACAGGTGTCGCACTGCGGTCAAGTTCTGCTGTTGAAGAAGGCGATGACCACGGGCTGACCAGAGGTGAAGTGGCTTGGTTAGCAGGTGACAGTAAGTCCACCTGACAAGAAGAGAAACAATTACAAATGAACCCTCAGGTGTACACTCAAATCAAGGTGCAAAGATGCAGTGCAAGATGATTTCTGAGAGGGAGAGTTGAATTTTAAAAAGGTGATAAGATTGGCATTGTCCATACTGATGGCTTCATTGGAAAGTAAACACATCTCAGCAGTATTTCAAATGAGGATGAAAATTTAAGAAAATTAGGATCAGTGTCCAATAAGATATTGGCAGTTTCTACACACTATAAATTCCAGTCACATTAAATGTCCTCATCTTTGTTGTTGTTAACATAACATTTCAGCCATTATGTCATCTGGCCTTCATATGGTGTCTGTCAATCTGGGTATCCTTAAAGGAATTTTGAACTGAACTCTTTATTCAATCTATGAAGGTAGATTATTCTAATTCTGCTATGATTACAGCTATTTTGTTTTTGTTTTCTGGACCAGGGATTGAACTCATGATCCCTACATTACCAAATTCACAAACCAATGCTTTAATCATCTCTATCTATAAAAGGCTGTGTGTGCGTGTGTAACAAATGCACGGCCACAATTTGACAGATTTGCACCAAAATTTACATGCACATGCTCCAAGTTAGCAGCAAGACCAACTTTGTATTTCCCAACTGCCATTGATAGTGGAAATAATCGATTTTTTCATGCTTCTACGGAAGTTTTCATGTAGTTTGCAGCCATTTTCTACTGGCCAGAATGAGAGCCTATAGCTGGCTGCCATGAATAGGCAGGAAGATTCTATTGGCCAGCATGAGAGCCAACAGCTGACTGATACAAATGTTAACTAGCATGCAAAAAAAAAAAAAAAAAAAATGATAGCTACATTTGTCACAAGTGGGAAAAATTTAAATCTGCATGACACTTTACTCCAATTGGCTCATTTGCTTGATTAAACTCAACACTGATTCTGATTCCACAGAACTTGAGTGTGAAAAAGTATTTGTTGTTAACATTCTTTTTTCATTCAGTTTTTCCAGTTACGAGTCCTTTTTTAAAGCTGATCGTTTTGTGTTCATTTTGTTTAGTTCTTTTTTTTTTTTGTAACAAATTTAATGTTTAGTATAGAGCTTAGAAAAATTCACAGTGTGAGGTAGGCAAGAAGTAAGGCATGTAGCAACATCAGCATGGCAAAGGGCACTCCTTTAAAGGCAAAGAAGGGCAAAAATATTTTAAGTCATGTGATAGCGATTGCTGTATGAGTCGTACGATTTTTGAATCAAGCACGGGCAATGCCGGGTCATGCTGCTAGTCTGGACTATTAGTTCAATTGTAAATAATCATAACTCATCTCAGAAATGCAAACGGAAACAATAGACTCCAGTTTTACATAGTGACAGTCCTAGATAGATTTTTTTTTCTCATCTATTCCATCAGTAGAATGCTACTTGGAATAGGTTTCATAGAATCTTAGTATGCAGAAGTATTTCAGTACAAACTTGCAATGAAAACTACTATTCAGTCACTAAATATCTCACCATAAAACAATGCTAAGTAACCTTACTAAGCAGACTGTGATAGTGAATTTAACTATTGCTACTATACAGAGATTGATCCTTACTACATACCTCTTGACAGTGGTTTTTATACCATAGTACATTTGGTTTTTGATTTGGTTTGGTTTATTTTGTTTTATGGCATATCAACCTCAATTGGTTATTTAATGCCGACATTTTTAGGATAGATTCGTATGAATAGCATATGTATTCTTTGGTTTAGATTGGTTTGGTTTATTTTGTTTTACGGCATATCAACCTCAATGGGTTATTTAATGCCAACAACATTTTTTATTGCTGGTAATATTTTGTTTTGTTAAAAATCTGTTTCTGGTAATATTTTTCCTTCAAAATTGTATTGCTGGTAATAGTTAACTATTTGCTCATAGCTGGGACCCTAACAGGTGCTACCACCCTGGGTCAGGTGGACTTGGGAACATCAGCAATTAAGAGGTAGTTCCACACCTCTCAAAACCTCCTGATCAGAGGCCTTGCTGCTGGATGTAGTTTATTGTCTTACCCAGGACGCGGATGTAGTTTAACGTCTTATCCAGGACAAATATAGTACGCTTGGATTAGTAATAATTGTGGCCTACTTCAGGTTTTCAATACTTAGTCACTGATCCTAGTGGAGATTTCCTTCCTTTCCTTTTGTTTGGGGTAGTTTGAAATGTCAGCACACATGGGTGTTACAGGGAGTGAAAGAGAAGATTGAAAATAGGGAGGATTGAGGAAAGGACAAAAAAAAAATGAACAGGGTTCAAGAAGACAGAAGATGGTAACTGATGTTTCATTTAATTTTTTGAAGATTGCAGTTAACAGGGAAGCAAATAAATGGAGGGATTGTACAGTTAGGAAGTGCGAGAAAAGAAACTGTTGGAATACAAGTGGCGGTTGCAAACAGTAAAATGGTGGGACCTAGTTGCCAATCTAGTAGTACTTGTAGTCAGGACATTAGGAAAAAAAGCTTGTCAGTTCAGTTGCCATGAAAATATTTGTAGAAAAGACAGAGGGTAGCCACGTTACATCGGTGAGAAAGTGACTGAAGTTCAGATGCCTGGTCAGATTCTTCTTTGGATTTTGTCGAGAATCTTGAGATGTACAGCAGGAGCACCAGTCCAGATATAGCAAGAGTTATTCAATGCGTAGGTGAATGGTAGATTTGTATATGTGCAAGATGGATTCTGACAAGAAAAAATTTCTGGCATGACACAGTGACCTAACATTCCTTGAAGTAGACAAAGCAATTTATTTGATAAAGTCACTCCACTGAATCCATGTCAGCGGAAAACATGAGACCAAGAAGTCAGTGTGTTGCTCTCTTGGAGTCTAGCATCAGCCACACTGATGGCAAGCAGAAAAGGTTCTATGTTATGGTTAACAAAAATATACAAATGATTTTCATTAGCAAAAAAAGAATTAGGCATACTAGAAAATTATTAAAGTATCAGACAAAAACAGTTGGGAAAACCAACACTATAGACTATTTCTTCACACACTCAATTCTCAAGAAAGAACATTTCTAAGTACACAAGAAAAATTAAATAGAAAAACTCACAAAATATTCCTTGTCTGTCATATGTAATAAAAGATGCACATTAAATATATGTATGTATGTATGTATGTATGTGTGTGTGTCCCACTTTTATGAATTGTTTGCTTGTACTTATGTTCTTTTAGCAGTCTTTCTTTTTTTTGTTTAATTTTTGTATCATAGTTTTCTATACATTTTTTCTCCTTTGTTAAACCTGTTGATCGCATAACTGTTTTCAAAGTCCTTATATAAGAAAGTTGAAGGTTTATTTGGTTGTCAAGGTTTCTAATGAAATTTAGAACAGCAGATAATGACCAACAAACTCACATAGTTACAAACATGACCGATGAAACAAAGTGTGTGTGTGTGTGTGTGTGTGTGTGAAATTTCAAGTAAGTTGAAGTGACAGAAGTATATAAATGTCGAGATACTATCAAGACAAGTTTGGATTCTTGTTAGCAGATTTATAGGACAAAGGCTAAACAAGGTGAAGAATGTGTAAAGAAGATGGCTATTTTCTTTTATCCATACTTTCATTAAAAAGAAAAGGAAAGAGTAGAAAAAAGAAAGAAAAATAAATGAAAAGAGAGAGAAAAAGGGATGAAGGAGGAAGAGAATGAAAGGGAGGATAGAGAGAGGATAGAGAGAGAGAAAGGAGAGAGAGAGAGAGAGAGAGAGAAAGGAGGATAGAGAGAGGAGAGAGAGAGAGAAAGGAGGATAGAGAGAGGAGAGAGAGAGAAAGGAGAGAGAGAGAGGAGAGAGAGAGAAAGGAGAGAGAGAGAGGAGAGAGAGAGAAAGGAGAGAGAGAGGAGAGAGAGAAAGGAGAGAGAGAGAAAGGAGAGAGAGAGAAAGGAGAGAGAGAGAAAGGAGAGAGAGAGAAAGGAGAGAGAGAGAAAGGAGAGAGAGAGAAAGGAGAGAGAGAGAAAGGAGAGAGAGAGAAAGGAAAGAGAGAGAGAAAAGGGGAGGGGAGAGGGGAGAGAAAAGGGGAGGGAGAGAGGGAGAAAAGGGGGAGGGAGAGAGGGAGAAAAGGGGGAGGGAGAGAGGGAGAAAAGGGGGAGAGAAAGAAAGAGTGGGGAGAGAAAAGAGAAAACGATAATCCAAAACAATGTTAAAAAGTAATACTTTAAAATATTTTAGAAAAAATATGTCCTTATATTTATCACTAAAGAGACAAAATAGCCATTTAAAAATATTTTCTAGTCTTCATTCTAATTCTTCCAAACTAAGGGAAATCATATAAAAATATAAACCTCAGCTAAATTCATGGGTCTTTAAACAAAAATGCAAAATTCTTCAATTATTAATTTTTCATCAGTTGCTTTTTATCACAACTCAGATCTTCATTTACAGTCATGAGTGAACAATGTGGTTTTGAAGAAGGAATAAACTCTCAGCAGGATTCAAAATTATATCTTGAGATTACCAGGAGTGGGAACAAAAGAAGAGTAATCCAGAACACAGTAGATTAATAATGCATTTAAATTTTGCAAGTTTAATGTTGACTGGAAAGCAAGGAGCTGAAAGTGTTCCACATGTGAGAAGTGTGAGAAAAGAAAATGTTAGCACAGAGCTTATGGTTACATCTAGCCAATTCAAGTGAAAATTGATGAGATGTCATCGCAAGTCTAGAACTGCACTTAAATTCATAACATCTAGATACTACAGTGAAGAGCAATATTTATTCTGGTAAGTACACAGAAATGTGGCACAAGACTGAGGGAGGGATTGGGGAAAGGACAGTCTTCTTTTGTCTTAATGATAACTGAGCTAGCCACACTGACCCAATCATACAAACAATATTCCTTACACCAAAACAATACATTCTTACGTACCTTTCTTACTACATCCACCATAATACCTCATTGTCTCTATGAAAATATTAACTAGTCCCCATATGTACAATTGTCTGTCGGGGGAGGGGAATAAAACAATTCTAAAAACTAGCCCCAATACTATACTATAGTGAAGAGCTCATCCAAATAATTATCATGAAAATATTTATAGAAAAGGCACAGGGAGGCAACTTTACAGCAGTGAGAAAGTGACTGAAGCCAACATGCCAGATCAGGACCAATAATATTGCTGATTCTTTAGATTTCATAAAGAATCTCTAGATATACAGGAGGAGCACTGGACTATATGTGGCAGCAATATTCAATGCAGGAGATAGATACGTTAAATATGATTCAACTCACATTATCTATATAACCACAAAAACAAACCTGGGTTATATGTCAATAACTGCGCTGTGGTTGAAAGGAAATTCTCAACAGTTTCTTCCTAATCAAGAATTAATATTGTCTATTTTGGAATAAACTTTTAATTAAAAAAAAAAAAGATTAATTAATCCAGTGAAGAACAATTCTATAAAACTTACTTGTACAGCCACATCATTTTTCTCTTGAGAATTTTTACCATTTTTATCTGCAGTTTCCTTCTGTAATTCTTCTAACTGCACCTGAAAATACAACAAAAATGAGTTTTTTTGGTTGGCTAAGAGAAATAAATTCTTTTTAGATATTTCTCAAAGAAAATATTCAGTGAGGTGTTCAACAAAATTAGGTAACACAAGAGTGTGGTGTGTTCAATCAATCACAAAATTAAATTATCAGTCTATCCTTGTAAATTAAATGAACGGTTCAGTTTAGAATCCCCTGTAGATTGACATACACCTGATGAAGGCTGAAGGTCAAAATGTTGTAATAACAACAAAAAAGACAAGGACAATAGTCTGTGTGTAAATAATGAAATTATCAATTGTCTGAATTTAGGGGGATGACAAGTTATCTTTACATTTGGGCATCATCATAAGTTCAGCCTCCAGATTTGATGGGACAGATTTAGACTCAATGAAAACAATCAGAATATTAAATGAGCAGTGCAAAAAAAAAAAAAATTGGATGAGATCAGATATTCCCAGCCATTAACAGTGGAACAGGAACAATCTACCCCCACAGATTAAAGGGTTCAGTTTGAAATTCACTGAGGGATACATGGATCAACATAAACCTGAAGAAGGCTGGAGTACAACAGCCGAAATGCAGTGATAATAAAAGAGGTCACTAATCCAAAGGTAAATATTATAAAGATATCCAATAATCTATCATATCAGGGCATTTTAATGCAAATATGGCTTTTTATTATTCAACATAACAATTATTTTTTGCAATCATTTCAACCTAATCAAGGCAATAAAGCTACTAAGACGCTAAGTGACTATTGATTATGAAAGAATATGAGAAAAAGAAAAACATTATTAAAGAGAGAACAATAATGGAACAGGAACTATGAAGAATTTTTGAAGATAAAAGGCAAGAGAGTTCCACAAGCAAGAAGTATGAGAGAAGAAGCTCTTAAAATAGAACTTATGGTCACATCTAGCCATTTCAATGCAAAATAAGGAGACCTAGCTGCCAATCAAGTAAGGTACTTAATTGGTCAGGGTACCAAAAAGGAAAGCTCATCAGAATAATTACCATGAAAATATTTTTAGAAAAGGCACAGGGAAGCTATGTTTCAGCAGTGGGAAAGTGACTGAAGCTGAGATGCCAGGTCAGGACTGATAACACTGCAGATGATTCATTGTATTTTATCAAGAATCCCTAAATACATAGCAGAAGCACCAGACCAGATATGACAGCAATATACAATGTATGGATGAATGCTAGACTTCTTATGTTACAATATGATTTCTCACACATCTGTAGAAGATAAGGAGATAAATTCCTTCCCTTTACACTTGGCTACTAGAGTTTCGTAGGAATTTTGTCTTCAATCCATTTTGAGTGAAGTTAGTGTTTCAGATTCATGTTTCCAGTTCGCCTTTGAATTGGAAAACATAAAAAGTTTATGATTTCAGATAATCATAAAAGTAGTCCTTTAAGGATTTGAACACCCATGTGGATTTGGGATGGTCCCAAATCTTCCGGAAAGACAAGTGGTTGGAGGTGGGTGGGCAGGATTATCCATATAAGCAGAGACAGGAAGTCAAAAAAGTGGGTCCAATTGTGAGAAATGTAGGTAAGTGACCAGACGAGCTAGATCTGCTCATTGGCCAGTGACAAAAAGACTGGTAGTGGGGAATCAGGTGGTTGCCGAGGCCAGTGAAGTTAGGGAGGTAGCAGTTCAGCCGAAGGGAAAGATAGCTGGCTGAGTGAGAAATCGTATTGTTGCTACTTCTCAACCAGACAGTCTTGAAAAACAATTGTCTTCATTTTCAACAAGGGGTTACTGAGAATGAAAGAATCTGGGAAAAACTTTGAGGACAATAAAAGAACAGGTTTTAAGGCGACAAGATTGACTTGACATTTTTGAAGATCAGAGTTGACAGGAAAGCATGAAGCCAGAAGCGAGTTCCTGAAGCAAGAAGTACAAGTGGAGAAACTAGTATGTGGCAGGAGTGTTGATTCTATTTTTGAAAAAAAAATCATTTTGGCATGAATCCAACTCTTCTTCCCGCATAAATAGTAGAAATGACTGGATTCTATAGCCTTGGATGACAACCAGTCGAGAAGAAGGAAAACTGAATTCAAAACTGTATGTAGCCCAGGCAAAGTATATACTTTGCAGCTAAGAAAAGGATTGTTTGCATTGACTCAATGATCCTGACTATGGTCAACTCTTCCTTATTTTCTTATTCATTTACAGTTAGTAACCACTTGTGTCTTAGTGGCTTTATGGCCATGCACGGGTTGATATGATACAAAAAAAAAAAATCTCAAAAGCCAAAAAGCTTTTGTGTTGGCATGATGTATAGTGCAGAGAAAAAAAATTTTTTTTTCTCCAACTGGTAAAAACAACAAACATGCAAATCAGTTTCACTCCTAGCCAATAACAATGAAAGCAGCTGAGTTGAATAGACTGCTATAGAGAACATACAGACCCATTTAATTCCTGGTGTCATAAAGAATCAGTATAGCAAGTCATATAGACTGCTTTAAAAACTGCCCACTTTTTCTGCCAAGGGTTAGAAGTAAACTGACTTGAGCACTTCCACATGGTTAGCAAAGTAGAACAATTACAACTGAGTAGTTAATTCCAAACTTGTGGCCTTCTGCCACATCCAACCTATGCTAAGTAAATCACTAAAAGTCAACTGGCCTTGGGTGGCTCCAATTTCTTTAAAAAATTCTATTTGTCCTTTTTACACTGATCTATTCTTTTAGATTCTTACCTTGTGTTCTTTTTGTAGTTCTTCAATCCGCATTTGGTGTTGTTTTTCAAGATTCTCAATCATTTTGGCATGTTCACTGCTAAGTTCTTCCTTGACCAAATTCAATTCAACCTGGTGAGCAGCATCCAATTCAGACTTGATCGTGTCAACATCCGTAGCAATGGGTGCAGTTTGATCAGGATGTCTATCAGGGGCATCAGCTACAAAACAAATAAAACAATTACTCCTTTTCATTTCAAGTCACTCGATAGCAAATATCTGATGACATATAAAGACCCACGTTTTTATGTGATTATTAAAGTTTCAGACATTTCTAAGGGAAGGCATGAAAATAAACTGGCCTTGGATCAGGCAAAGGAGGAAAATTGAATAAAATTCTAAGAATATTCAATACACCATTTTAACAATTTCTTTTCTCAATATTTTCTGCTGAAATAAGAGTAGGGGTAGATATTTTTAATCATTTCACCCCAACCAAGGCAATAATGCCACTCAGAAGGAGTTACTGGAAATGTAAGAGAACAAGAAGACTTTATTCAGAAGAAAGGCCAGTAAAAGAACAGGTTCGGGAAGACAGAAGATGGCGATTGGCATTGCATTTAAGTTTTTGAAAATTGTAAGTGGCAGGGAAGCAAGAAATCAAAGAGGAGTTCCACAGGTGAGAAGTGCAAGAAAAGAAACTATTAAAATAGAACATACAGTTGAATCTTCCTAATTCATCAGTAAAACAGTGAGACCTAGTTGCCAATCTAGTACTACACTTAAATTCATGCCATTAAGACACTAAAGAGGAAAGCTCATCAGAACAATTGCTATAAAAATATTATAACAATTGCCATCATTTTTGACAGCACAGGTATACTTGTGATATATTTTAAATGAGAAAGAAATAATTTACTGTATTTGATAATCTTGAGATTCTTGGCAAAATTCAAAGAAGGGTCTGTAATGTTATTGGTCCTGACCTGGCATCTTGACTTCAGCTATTTTCTCACTGACATGATATAGCTTCCCTCTGTCTTTTCTACAAATATTTTCATAGCAACTGTTCTGATGAGTATATTGTCCCACGAGAATAAAATCTGTAGAAATTCCCCTATCACATCGGATAAATATTTGAGCTTAACAACTTTAACAAAATATTGCAATAACAATCGTAAGTAAGAATGCTGGTCATTATTTAAAGAAGTAAGAGGGTACAAATGAAAAAATTTGAAATTAACTTTTTCCATTTCACTGAAACAGACATAGAACACTTGTTTCTTTCTTTCATTTACTCACTGAAACCAAGAAGTCTTTTCTCCTCCTTCCAATATCTCTTAATAATAATAATAATTTTAAAATAATTCAGCAAACGATGTTATTTTATAGATTTTTGTTGACTGCCTTACTCAATTTCCGTGAGTCGATACTATGCGACTGAAAAATTGCGCTTTTATTGCAGTCACCTTAGTTTCTCTGCCTTTTTAATAAGATCAAAATGTAGTATCTGTTCTCATCAGCTTAATCTGATTCTCTCTCTCCACTTCTAATTTTCTTTCTTACATTTTTCACATAATCAAAACGGAACAGTCCATTATTTATGAGGTATTGGCAGAGCGTAACAGCCGTGCAAACTAACAAAGAGAGAGGCAAAATTATAATAGGATACTGTATAAAGGCCTTGAAATTCATCAACTGAAATTTATAGATAATAGCATGTGTGAAAATACAACACAAAAATAAACTGAATCAAAACGGAACAGTCCATTATTTATGAGGTATTGGCAGAGCGTAACAGCCATGCAAACTAACAAAGAGAAAGGCAAAATTATAGGATACTGTATAAAGGCCTTGAAATTCATCAACTGAAATTTATAGATAATAGCATGTGTGAAAATACAACACAAAAATAAACTGTGGAATAAAGACAGCGAGTCATTTTAGAATTTCAAAGAATATTAGGGAGACCAAAAATCAGAGTATTTAACAGGTAGTGATGAGAAAAGTAAGGATGAGGATACAAGCAAAAATAACTCACCCACTGAATGACAGATTAACTTATCCACCAAAGAGTGGATAATCTATCAGTTTCTGTTTGTCATAAAGCATGAATCAGTGAAATTTTTTGTGTGTTTATTAAGACATCTAATTATCTGGTCAAGTGCACAATGATAATAATTCTTCATTACAGAATTTCAGAGTTAGAAACATTTTTCACACTCACTGTTTTTCAACTGAGCAAGTTTCTCTTCATATTCTCTTCGGATTTTCTCCATTTCTTGTTTATGTTTTACCAATTCTTCAGCCATCTTGTTGTCTTTCTCTTGCAGCTGATGCTTTAAATCAGTTAAAATCTGGTTGGCTTCTGACCCATCTGTGTCATCTGTACTGCGTTGTTGCTCATAAAACTGAAGCATTTTCTGTAGGGAACTGAGATTTTCATTGTACTTCTCTTGCAGTTCCCGCATCTCAGAAGTCTGCTTGACTAAAAGTTCTTCTATCAGTTTCTCATGGTGATCTTGGAGTCGAGACTGTAAAAAAAAAATAAAATAAAGACAGGCAATGTTTCAGAATATTTAATTTGTTCAACATCGCACATCACTGATAAACACAGTAGACTAACAAAATTTCCACCCTTTGCATGAATTAACATTTTTGTGGACCATCTGACATCAAGTCAATATATCAATTGCTGACCATATCCTACTTAGGATTTTTTATTTCTTTTTTAAATTTTTTTTTTTTTTTTTTTTTTGCCTTTTTTGTTCAAATTTTTCTTTTGTTCACCGTAGTCTACTGTATTTATCAGTGATATGCTAACGAAATTTCCACCCTTTGCATGAATTAACATTTTTGTGGACCTCAGGTAAATAATATATCAATTGCTGAACATATCCTACTTAGGATTTTTGATTTCATTAATTTTGTGAAGATATATATATATATATATATATATCTTACTTATTATAAAATGCAGATTGTGTGTGTGTCTGTACATTTATATATTGGATCAAATTTCCTACATTTTTCAACCGATTTCAACAAAACTTCACAGGACTACGTAAAATTACCTTGCGGTGGTTCTGACAGTGCCAAAAATTGGAAAAACAATTGTTTTTGCACGAAATCAATTTTAAAACACGATTCTGTCGCCAGAATGAAAGGGGGACATCTCATATAGAGTTATATTTATTATAAAACCCAGGTTGTTTGTGAGTGTGTGTATGTGTTCATTTATATATGGGATCGGATTTCCCACATTTTTCAACCGATTTCAACAAAACTTCACTTTTTTTTAGCCGGTAGTGTGTTTCTTATTGTCTTGCACACTGTTTTTCTTTATTTTTACATTCAGAATGCTTTAAAAATTCCATTTACAAGACAATAGTTTATAATAAAATTCTATTCAATCAGTAGTCTCATAACGATTAAAAACAATGTTTTTGAGTTTGGGTTTGACCAATTCGTAAAAAAAACAAAAAAAACTAATTAAGACATGCGTGTCCGTCAACCTTAAACAATAATCTTTGTCAATTTTATTTTTCAGTCTTTATGATGGTCGATACTTGATCTATCTTTTTACTGTTACATCCCGGGCAATGCTGGGCTCTACTGCTAGTATATATATATATATATATATATATATATATATATATATATATTTCACTTTTAATTCCACATAAATATTCATCTACCACAACCATTTTTACAGACAAATCCAGAGCCCAAGACTTTTTAAAGTCTGTTAGACATTACAAGCAATATGTTGGCAGCTGTGTGCGGGGATGTTGAAATACCTGGGTTGGTGTGCAGATGCAGTCAACTCACAGGTAGTGCTGGATTCTCAGACATATGAAAAATATTCCAAGAAAGTCTGTAAAATAATGGTAATCCTAAAATATTAAATAAAAATGATTAATGGTTACCTGAAAATCTAAGACCAAGTACCTATTGAAAATTATAGAACCAGGATGATAACAGTACAACCAGGCTGCAAACATATAATATTCCCCACCACTTTCCTGAAATACAACCTGCAAATGTGAAGAGACGGGCACTGATCATTTAAGAATTCCATACCACATCACAAATGAGTCTATCAAGACAATGATCCTGCTTTCCCTCCAAGGTCAATGTATTGATAATGGGAGGTGGAGGAGTGCATTGCTGATGCTATAGTTAAGATTAAAATGATCTAAATATCCTCTAGCAAGTGTTCCCACAAATAGGACTTAAGATAAAACTTTACAAAACAGAAATTATGATCTGGAATTGGAATGAAAAGAGTGACCCCACTCAGAATCCATCATAAAAAAATCAGGATATAAAATTATTAAATTTGAAACATTTGAAAAAAACCTCAGTGTATGCCAATTTTCTAAGTGTAGTTTAGATGTGGCACAGAAATGAAAGTACAGGGCATCCAGTGAGGATCAAACTCACTATTCAGTCGTAATTGATCTAGTGAGACAAGCTTGCTAACCATTACACCACATCAAGATGTAGTTTTGCCTAACACTTCAAATTGCTACAAAGCATTAAGCTGAAAACTAGAAAAATAAATAGGCTTCTTAAATTGAGACTTTCATATGGACATCATGCATGGTGCCAAACCTGCTCAGAAATATCTAAACTGTCAGATGATTACTCCCACTTTTCAAGATCAATGATTAAAAATGATTGAGGAAGTGAAGACTGTGGGTTTTGACAAAACCCTCCTCCTTTGAACCTTGTTGACTGGAACTACAGAATTACAAAATAACAAAAACCACCTCACTTTCAACAGTAACAACAACTAAAAAGAGAAAGTAATGACATAATCAAGATGTAGAAATTCCACATAACTTAAAAAAAAAAAAAAGGTTAGGAAGGAAACTCCCATTAGTACTGGAAAGAGTGATAACAGCTACTGGACATGAGGAACTGTACTAAATAAATCATTTAAGGACTTTCAACAACAGAAGTACCTAAATTGGATATTACATGCAACTTGACAAGAAAATAATGACAATATCCTGAACTGGCACCTCGGTTTCAGTCAATTTCCCACTGCAATGTAGCTTCCCTGTGCCTTTTCTATAAATACTTTCATAGTAATTGTTTGGATGAACTTTCTGCTATGGTACCTAGACTTTATGAATTTAAGCGCAATACTAGATAGGCAACAAAGTCTCATCATTTTACAGTTGAATTGGATAGATGTAACTTTAAGTTATATGCTGACAGATCCTTTTCTTGCACTTCATACCTGTGGAACTCTTCCAACTTCTTGCTTTCCAGTAGACTTTGATCTTCAAAAATTTAGATGCAATGTCAATCATCATCTGCTGTCGTCTTTATTCCTCCTTTTTTACTATTCTCGCTCTTTAATGTTTTCTTTTCCTTATTTTTTCACACTTAGTAACCCTTGCATCTTAGTGGCTTTATTATCTTGCTTGTGTGAAATGATTAAAAGAAAATGTTCAAATAAAAGGTTAGGAAGGAAACCTCTATCAATACTGGAAAGAGCAATAACAGACACGGGACTTGAGAAACCTATTTTTCTGAAAAACTGTTAAAATATTGCCCAAATATTGTGGTCTTGTGCCAGACGTGACTAAACAATGAATACTTAAATTTCAGTTCAAAAGTTTGAAGAATCCCCCAGAATTAGCATGAGATGAACTTGACAGAAAAGTGAAGCTTTTCCATTCAAAAATGTTTTTCATTTTTTGAATGGAAAAGCTTCACTTTTCTGTCAAGTCCATCTCATCCAATTACTCTGAGTTTTTTTACTCAGAGTAATTGGAAAAAGAAAAGAAAAAAGAATGGAGTCAATTATTAAACTTATACTTTGAGAAAGTTTTTCAATAAATGCCAAAAATTTGTGCTACAGTAATCAAGGCTGAAAGAGGATATTTTGATGTGAGCAAAATTTAATCATAAAATACTTTTTCTTTTTGTCATAATAAAAAAAAAAAAAAAAAAAATCATGTCTCACTTTTTTTTATTTTTAAACCATATATAATAACTTCCTCTTATTTAAAAACAATACCAGGAGTGGCCTCAAACTTTTAAAATTGTTGTGTAGATATACACATACAAAACAGCATTCATCTTGGGTACCTCTTATTTGAACTGTTACACTTAGGGCAACATTTTAGCTCTATTAGTTCTCCAAGTGCTTTAGGAACAGATTTTATCTATGGACCCTACATAAAAATGAAAACTGCCACATGCGGACAATTTTCAACATATTTTAAACATGACTCTATTTGATTTGATTAAGTGTGTTATTACACCAAGGGACAGCTATCCAATTTTGTTTTTCATTGCACAGTGACAAGAAGAATAAAATAAATATAACTAAATAAATATGAATGGACGTCTGTTGGCGTCTCCAAATCAGCTCAGTCATCAAGCAAGTTACATCTAGTATTGTTAGGTGAGGCTACAATTACTCAATACTTACTACACTAAACTCTAGTACTTCATGAAAAATTTTAAGTGTTAAGTTCTGAAGGAGAGATATTATTAGAAAGGAGATGTAAAATTACAGCACTTTTTTCATTTTTATTATTCTATGTTCGTTCTTAACATTAACTACTAGTCATAATAGTATCAAGAACTTAACATGAAAATGTTCATAATTAAACAGCTATTTTCATATTGTCATAATAAATTACTTATTACTCCAACTTTAAAATTTTCTGTTGACAGCTCCTTGGCCAGGATTCCACATTAAAGATTTATAGTTATCAGTGGTTTTTGTTTTACATAATTTTAATTGCTCAAAGAAAATATATAGAAATATACTACTAAGTTTTATTTTATAACTAGACCACCCAAAAACCTGTTGGGTTCTTTTTAAAACCAGTTCATGATACAAAATTGTTGGCTCCAATCCATATGTGAATGACTGTAAAAATATCCCTCTCTGAAAATTTATAGCCAAAACACGGATGCATGCTGGGATATCTTGCTAGCCAATAATGCCACTTCTTGGTCACATCAGACTTATTTCTGTTCTTTCTTGTCTGGAAGTCAGAATGCTCTGATTGTATCACTTTTTTTTAACACCATTCTTAGTTTGTGAACTTTTTGCCTTACTATTGTTATTTTGCCTTGTATATATTGGTTGTTCAATATAATTTTTTTCCCTTGTTCTTTTCTTTCTCTTTTTATTGTAAACTTTGTCAATTCTGTTTGTTCGCCATTTCTGCAAATTACACTTAACCATGGTCAATTACACTACAAAAATAATGAGGTAGCAATATTATCAATTTTATTATTAATTATACATATTTTAATTTGTATTTGCAATACAACTTACTGCAATAATAATTATTACTCACATAATACAATATTACTTAGATCAAATGCAATAATAAATTAATAATAATAATTACATTTTTTTGTTATATATACTTGTTTCTTCTTCACATTTCAAAAAATGTAATGGCGGCAAACCAACGTGCATCAATTTATTTACCATCAAGTTATGTGACACAATTTTCCAACATTACAGATTACGTTTTACAATTACAAATCC